TCCCAGCGGAGTCACACGTTGATTAACCGGTGGGAATATACACAATAGGCCTACCTGATATTGAACACAAGAGGGCAGTATAGCACTACGTATGACTCAGATTATTTTTTCTTCTTCTGAATTTTAAAACCATTATGGCTGTTTTTGAACGTAAACATAATTCTTAAATGAAAAAAGGGAAAAACTGGTTTAATTATAATATTTGTATAATTTAATTTAGAAACAAATAATGTATAATTACATTTTTAGAAGATATGAGGCTTTTAGTGTTTACTGTTTACTTTTTTGACATTACTTTAATCTTTTGCCAAAGTTGCACATGCCTACTGGCTAATAAATGTGATGTATCTGTCGAGCTATCTGTATCTATCTGTTTCAAGCAATTTCAAGCATGCTAAGAGTCCCAAAAGTATCAAAAAAGAATGAAGTTTGATTTGTTGCCACAGCAACAGTATCAAAGATATCAAGAATCCATTCACAGGTCTACATCTGCTGTATTTTTACATTATACAGATGAAGTTTGAAGCAAATCGGTTAAAAATAAGAGGGTGATATCAAAGCAGTTTGAAAGTGACACACTTCCTGCTGCCAGTTGGTGGCGCTATAACTCTGACTCACAATAGTCACATCCACGTGATCGTCCTCTTACAGCGAACACACTGCTGAAGTTTCATCAAGATCAGTTAATCTATGCTGAAGTTATGACACACTTCCTGTTTCACGTTTCTCGCCATAATTTTGTTTCCTCGCCACGGCCAAACCGTTCGAGATATCAAAAATCCCCTCGCAAACTTTCATCCTCAATGCCTTGACTTCATGCTGACCGAGTTTCGTGCCGTGTGTTTGAATTCTCTCGGAGGAGTATTGCACATTCCATTGCGAGCGTTTTACAAACAAACCTCAATAGCCGACTTCCTGTTTGGCTGGGGTAAAAAGTAAGAGCGTGAGGTATAGATGAAACGATGAGATCAACATGTGTACCGAGTTTCATATTATTACATGCAAGCGTGTTTGATTTATGGACCAAGTGTTCGGACCCCGTTCCAGGGGGCGCTGTCTAGCCCCCCTGCCACACCCAGGTACCATCTTCAGCCCGGCTCTGATGGCTGTGGGATCTGACCTGTGTGCAAAGTTTCAAGAGTTTTCAAACCCGTTAAGGGCCCCAAAAGCCGCTAAGAGTCTCAAAATCATAAAAAAAAGAATTTTAAAGTTTGATGCGTTGCCACGGCAACAGTATCAAAGATATCAAGAATCCATTCACAGGTCTTCTTCTGCTATGTATTTACATTATACAGATTAAGTTTGAAGCACATCGGGAAAAAATAAAAGGGTGAGTTCAAAGCATTTTGAAAGTGACACACTTCCTGCTACCAGTTGGTGGCGCTATAACTCTGACTCACAATAGTCACATCCATGTGATCGTCCTCTTACAGCGAACACACTGCTGAAGTTTCATCAAGATCAGTTAATGTATGCTGAAGTTATAACACACTTCCTGTTTCACGTTTCTCGCCATAATTTCGTTTCCTCGCCATGGCCAAACCGTTCGAGATATCAAAAATCCCCTCGCAAACTTTCATCGTCAATGCCTTGACTTCATGCTGACCGAGTTTCGTGCCGTGTGTTTGAATTCTCTAGGAGTAGTACTTCAAATTCCATTGCGAGTGTTTTATGAACAACCCTAAGTAACCGACTTCCTGTTGGGCTGGGGTAAAAAGTAATAGTATGAGGTATATATGAACGATGAGATCTATATGTGCACCGAGTTTCATATTATTACATGCAAGCGTGTTTGATTTATGGACCAAGTTTTCGGACCCCGTTCCAGGGGGCGCTGTCTAGCCCCCCTGCCACGCCCGGGTACCATCTTCAGCCCGGCCCTGATGGCCGCGGGTTCTGACCCGTGTGCTAAGTTTCAAGAGTTTTTGAGCATGTTAAGGGCCCCAAAAGTGCCCGAATAGTCGTATAAATAATAATAATAATAATAATAATAATAATAATAATCCTAAGGAAAACAATAGGGCCTTCGCCCTTTCAGGGCTTGGGCCCTAACTAAAGAAGAATAATAATCCCAAGGAAAACAATAGGGCCTTCGCCCTTTCAGGGCTTGGGCCCTAATAATCCCAAGGAAAACAATAGGGCCTTCGCCCTTTCAGGGCTTGGGCCCTAATAAAAGGGATTTAAAGGGGAAATGAAGCAGTGAGGGGAAACCACCACCGGCTGTTCTACATACTAGCAACATAACTTACATGGTGTTGATGAGACGGGAATATGACGGCAGACATCGCGAACAATGTTTCTATGTGCAGTTTGTGAACATATAACACGAGACGTCGTCTTTTTGTCTAATAACTGTACCTAACATTAGTCGTTCGCGGTCAAAACACTGGTGTAAACACAGTTTGATGTCGCGATTTTCAGTGCCCAGAGCCTGTTTAACTTCAGCCAACCAACCCCGTTACGTCACCTGCACAATGGCGGCGCCCTGGCGGCGAAAGATTAATTTTTTTATTTTTTTATTCTAATTGTTTACATTTGTCATGTTTCTTATATAATTGTTGATTATATTGGAAATCCATCTTGTAAATCATGTAAACTTGATTCACTGTTTCATTTCCCCTTTAATTTTTCTAATTGGAAGTCTGATCCCTTATACGGTCTGATCACTATGTTTTAGTAAATTGTGGAGAGAACGAATTCTTAATTCGTGGGATCAAATTGTTCATTTGTTACAGATATATATATACATTTTTCCGCATATCATCATGTGCATGGCTCCGTAAACTTAGAAAAGTAACAGCGCATCACTATTCAATCTGCATGATTTAAGGTGTCGGTAACAAAACTAGTGCAGGACGATTATGTTTAATCCTTAGGGTTGATGTTTGTTTAAACCCCATAAGTAGAAGTAATTATTCTTCAGATAACATGAAAGCCTAAATTCAATCTGTTCATCATATAAAAAGATCGAGTCTCTCAATTCATATGGATCAGTTTTACGATCTCTTTATGAACTGCTCGAAAATGAACGAAAGTCTTTGGTTTGGAACGACATGAGGGTGAGTAATTGATGACAGAATTTTCATTTTTGGATGAACTATATAACTTAGTTGTGTAAATGGGCACTATGTAACAAATTGTGCAACCAAATTAAGAACAAATCTGTTGTAGTTACTAACCCCCTACTTCAACCTCCGTGTCCCAGTTTATGGTGGATAAGGTGCACACCTATCCAGATGTGTTAAAACAGCACGAAAAGCACACAAAAGAAGGGAAATAGTATAACATATTTAGCACAGTTCCAGATAAAGTAAATTGCATCTAAAAAAAATTGTCAAGACACTGTCAAAACTCTGTAGTAAATAAGCTCTCAGGAGATCCTGGATTTGTGCTGAAGTCTCAAGAGTCGCACAGGCCACACTGAAAGTTGTGTCGACGGCAGCCAGGGACCCGATACACAAGGCTTCGTATCTCCCTGACCATCCTAAAGTGAGTGGTATCACACCCGTGTTAGATATTCTGTTTGGGCCTGCGTGCTGGTCTCTAGAAGCACATCCAATCCGTCTCACAAGATCAGATCACAGAGCGAGATTCCTTTGAATCGGAGTGAGTGACAGGCAGTCTGGCTGTGATGTTATGTTCCCGTGTGCCACTGGCCTTTAACTATGGCTTGCGTGAATGCCATCTCTGAGCCGGTCCTGTCTAACGGAGTCTCAGGCCATCAATCACCACAACCAGATCAGCCGACTGGGGCTTCTGCCTGAGATGTGTGAGCCTCAGCCCTCAGAGGGATGTCTGGGGTAACATATTGGTTAAAGCTGAACTGAAGTTTTGTGCTATATGCTGCACTACTGTACATCTGATTGACTCAAAGAATCATTTCTACTTTTTTGTCGGAAATGCTAGATTGTTCAGACAAATACGTAGTCTTGTTTCAACTAACTGGTTGAGCCAGTGTTTACACTAATATATGCATAAAATATGTTTGAATAATATATTTTAAGATTAAATTTTATTCAGCACGGATTCAATTAACTGAAGACTGGAGTAATGATGCTGAAAATTCAGTTTTGATCACAGGAATAAATTAATTTTGAAAATGTATGAAAATAGAAAATCGTTCTTTTGAATTGTTATAATATTTAACAATATCACAGTTTTTTCTGTATTTACAACAAAAACATTTTTTTTTAATTTATTGCTTCTTAACATCTCATGTTGTGCAACTCCCCAAAAATTCAATTATATTTATAAAAAACATATACTTTTAATATATATATATATATATATATATATATATATATATTAATTATATATATATATGTATATATATATATATATATATATATATATATATTTTTTTTTTTTTTTTTTTTACAGATTTTTGGGAAATTTAAACCTTATAAAATAATAGTTTTTCAAAAGCATGTGAAACCTACGGAGCCCCTAAAGGGACACTAGGAAAAAAATAGGAGGGAAAATTATTTGTCAATGCTTTTGTGTTCTCTCGCAAATGTTTTTACGTTCTCACAAGAAACGAGCGTTTGTTCCTTCCCAAAAACATTTACATTCTGCCGAGAAACTTTGCGTTTGCTGGCAAAGGCATAATTTCTCCGGAGAACGCACAACTGTTGAGAACGCTCAAACATTTTCCTCCCATCTCCTATGATTTTTTTTCCACTACCATGCCCATTTAGGGGCTCTGTAGAAACTACCTGAAATAATATCATTGGTAAAAAATTGTAATTTAAATGAATTTGAAAAACGAGTCCAGTCTATGCACATTAAACTAGGAATGCAGAAAGTATTTCAACACTGAAAAATCACACACTTCATACTAACCCATACGTTGTGAGATCCTTTGTAAAGAGCTGCACAATTCATAAATATGCTAGTGTAAAGATGCACATTACACACGATGTACCACTTGCACTCTGACAACATGTGCAACTGTTCACTGCACACAGTTAGCTCTAGGCTATCCGGGGGGATTTGTTTACCTTGCACCTCCTTGTCATTTCTAAACCATCGGATGTCAGCAGCCGGTTTGCTGCCAGATGTGGTGCATGTCAGTGTGACGTCCTCCCCCTCCTGGGCAGGTCTCGAGAGGCCTGTGATTTCTGGTTTTGCTGGAACACCTGATAAACAAACAGAAGAGGAGGATTATAGGCAGCACTGAAGGAAACATGGTTGATTCTATGATTTCAGACCCACACCTGAAGATGAACTGATTAAGAGGAATATTTCTTGCTTGAAGTTCAAATGTGGGCGTGGCTTGACTTTGTTTTTGATAATACATATTTGTTTTGTTTATATATAGGTTTGTCAGTAGATCAATTCTATTTTCTGCTTTATAGTATTTTGCCATTGTATTAGAACAGAGAACATTTGGATGAGAGATAAAGATTAGAAGGTCTCTTCTAATGTACATTAAACCGAACCTTATAACAGCTGTTCAATGACGAAATCATATCTGGGGGGATTAAATGGATTTCTGGGTTCACTGCTTCTGACTATGATGGAAAAGATTTAGACCCTAAATAAAAGAAAGGAAAATAAAAAAGGATTTTTTACATTTTTTTATTTCAGTATTGCACAATAACAAATGTTAAAACTAACAATTAGCCAAATGACTTAAGCACTGTATATGTTAACATGGGACTAGTGTGTCAGAATTGTTAATTAGCCTTGTCTTTGTAATGTTACATATTCAAAAACCATGTAAATAACAAAACGTTGGATCGCTGCCATAGTTAGTCACTTACTGGACACCACCATGCTTACCCATTTACAGATCTTAGCCATTTAGAGCAAAATTGTTTGCAAGATTTTAATTATCATACGTGACGGCCAATTTAAACGCTTTAGTGACATTATGAAATAGCCAAGGCTAATTACCGCCATGTTAGTTCTGATACAAAATAAAGTCAACTTCATAAATAGGCCTGTATCCATTAAGAACATTTTTTTATTATTAGTCTTAAAATGTCCATAACATAAAATCATTGTTGAGCCACAACATTGTCAACATGCCATAGCGCTGATTTCTAAAGACTGCTGCACAGTGGCGGCGACTAGCGTCTTGAGCTCAAACAATGCTAAGAGAGAGCTTACGAATGATACAGACCAACCTTATGAACGTGTGACTTACAGAAGATATACTTAGCGTGTCGGGAATCGTGCCATAAGGTTAAGAGAGATGTTAAGGAATAGGTTAAGAACTACTTAACGAAGAACGTTTTGGGCAACCGGGCCTTGATCTTTTATGTGGAACTTATTTATTCTCTGTTTTTGGTGAGCATAGTTATGTAAGCTTTATTGTAGTTCACTTTCTTTTCTTTGTGTTAGGTTATTTTCATTGCTGTTTAATTTCATTAGATTGGTTTCGTTTGTTATTTTGGGCCTTGGGTCTCTCTGACGAGAATACCACTCTTCATTTTTGTTAATGAATTCTACTTTATTGTTAAACCATTTTCGGGTGGGCAGTGGTTCCTTCTAACAAATCCTAACTGTTTATTGTTATTTACCAGTGTTGTAGTACTCGAGACTCGGACTCGGTCTCGAGACCATATTTTAATGGTCTTGTTCTTGTCATGGACTCGTGTCCATTTGGACTCGGAATTGACTCGTACTCGAACATTTTTTTTTTTAGGACTCGGAATTATTCCCGAGTCCACACTGTAAAAAATTTCCTGTAGAATTTACAGGAATTTACTGGCAAAAAAGTTGCCAATAAAATCCTGTAAAAATGTTGGAAATTGCTGTAAAATTGATTACAGTGTAATACTGTAAAGCAATTTACAGTTGATTGTTGTATATTAAATTTATAGGTATACAGTAATTTATAGGGTTTTTTACAGTAACATTGAATTAAACCTGTATTTTATTTTACAGCAATATTTTGTAATTTCACTAAAGTACAGTATTTACCTGGCAATAAAGTTGCCAATAAAATCCTGTAAAATACCCCCAAAATTCAAGTAGATGCTGTAATAGTTTAACATTTAAAAAGCTGAAAAGAATCATTTTAACAGTGAACTGTACTCTATTATTTACCATTATATTGATGTAGATGCATTAAAATAAACATTTAAAAAAACAAACACAAAGTCAAAGCTGTTGTTGAAAAATATTTATTAAAATAATCAGCAAATTACTACAAGACTGGTAACAACAATTTTACTTTTTCAAGTACAGAAAATCTTTTCAAAATCAGTCACAAAATAACTACAAATAAGGCTTTAACACCAAGATACTGGGTTCAATAAAAGTTAAAGGGATAGTTCATCCAAAAATGAAAATTCTGTCATCATTTACTCACCCTCAAGTTGTTCCAAATCTGTATGAGTTTCTTTCTTTGTTGAACACAAAAGATGATATCTTAAAGAATTTTGGTAACCAGACAACTGAAAGTAAATGGCTACCACCAACTGTTTGATTACCAACATTCTTCAAAATATCTAAGTTCAGCAGAAGACAGAAACTCATACAGGTTTTTAACAACATGGGGGTGAGGAAATGGTGAATGATTTTCCATTTTTGGGTGATAGTTCACTTTGAAATTAATTTTTGATATGTTTTATCTTACCTCAAGGGGATCCAAGATGTAGGTGTCTTTGTTTCCACAGTAGTTTCAATTTTGACATTTTTTGGTCAAACCGTTGTTGTCTGTCAGTCATACACTGGAGGTGAAGGGGGTCCTCAATTGGTTCACCTCAAAGAGCAGCACAGAGAAGTCCAAATTAAACATGATTTAATGACTCGTACATGTAAGTACACATTGATGGCCTAAGACACGAAACGAGCGGTTTATGTGAGAAAACGAACAGGATTTATATCATTTTTACCTCTTGTAATCATAGCCATGACAAAATGATCTGCCGGCACGGGCGCTTCGGTCTGCGCATGCGCTGGAAGTGATCGCTTGCGCGCCTACGTCACTCTTTGTTTATACCATAGACAGTAAAAGAAATGGACAGAGCGATCTCATTGGAACTCCATTGAGACGATTGAAGCCGTTTTTGGCAATTTGTTAGCACTTCCGTCCCTGACGCGCAGACTCAAACAGAGCTTGACGACGTAGATGTGACGAGAGCAAACCGTCTGTCATCTAGTGCAGTGGCATGTGAAATCTGAATCATTCCCTTCCGATACATGCAGAGGCGAAGAGTATGAATAGGAGCTGTCCATGAGCGAGGAGCAGGAGACACTTTTGCTAGGTATTCTGATTAATTATTTTGTCTTTTTGCCTCCTATTTTGCCTTACTATTTCTTTTCTTCCTTGTAGGCCAGAACGAGACTTCCTTAGATTTCCACGACGCATGCGCGAGAATTGCGATCTAAGCTGGTGTAAGCAGATCGCAAATCTCGCGCATGCGTCGTGGAAATCTAAGGAATTCTCGTTCTGGCCTACAAGGAAGAAAAGAAATAGTCGAATAAACTCGTTATTTTTGTTTGTTTTTTCGCACAAAAAGTATTCGCGTCGCTTGATAAACATATAGTTGAGCCACGGTAGTCACTTGGGATATTAAAACATTTTCTTCATTGACTTTCTGGGCCGTCAAGAGGCAGTCCCTTAGGAGCCAATGTGGTAGTTATACAGCTCTCAAATTTAATCAAAAATATCTTCATTTGTGTTCCGAAGACGAACGAAGGTCTTACGGGGTTGGTACAGCATGGGGGTGAGTAATTAATGACTTAATTTTCATTTTTGGGTGAACTAACCCTTTAAAGACGATTTCGGTATATCTAAATATGTTTAGTAAAAGGTAAAACTTCCGAAATCTCCGTGTAAATATTGAGTGACGTCACACGCAAGCGATCACTTCCGGCGTAACATTGAACTGATTCAGTTCGGTTCAGTTGGACATTGAACAACTGATTCAGGTCACTTGGACGTCACTGTGATTACACGAGGTAAAAACGATACAAATACTGTTCGTTTTCTCACAAAAACCGCTCGTTTCGGGTCTTAGGCCATCAATGTTTACTTACATTTACGAGTCATTAAATCATGTTTAATTTGGACTTCTCTGTGCATGCTATTTGGTGGACCCCCTTAGCCTCCAGTGTATGACTGATAGACAACAACGGTTTGACTGAAAAATGTCAAAATTGAAAATACTGTGGAAACAAAGACACTTACATCTTGGATGCCCTTGAGGTAAGATAAAACATATCAAAAATTAATTTCAAAGTGAACTATCCCTTTAAGCTCAAACAACAGAATGTCAAAATTGTTAACTCACATCTTACATTTTGTACTTTTTTACATTTTGTGTAATTATAGACATCTCAGTTTTTTGTTTTATATATACATTTGACAACTCACATGCTTAACCACTCAAGGTCCACAGGGTAGCCTAATGAGAAGAGTAGGATTGACTGTGTTGTGCCTCTTCTCTGAGGTCTTTCCACTTTCATTGATGTTCTTGGTAAACATCTGCTCAAAAATCAGTGAGAAAAATACAAGCAGAAGCTTTAGGATCATGTGCAGACTTATGAAAATATACCACTTTACAATAAGCATTATTTGCACTACTAAAAAGGATTTGTTCACCACAAAATGACATTTCTGTAATTAATTACTCGTTAATCTGTCACTACTGACCTTCATTCATTTTCAGGAACACACATTAAGATGTGTTTGATGAAATCAGAGAGGTATCTGAACCACACATAGACCACAACGTCATTACAACGTCCGGGGCCCAGAAAGGTAGTGAAAACCTCATTAAAGTAGTCCATGTAACTTCAGTGGATCAACCTCAATGTTATGAAGTGATGAGAATACTTTTTGTTCTAACGTAGAACCTGGAAGCGATGCACTGTTTACTACAGCGTCAGAGATTGATACAGAAGAGAAGAGATTTTGTGGTTGATCCAGTGTAGTCACATGGTATATTTTAACATTGTCTTAACTGCTTTTCTGGACCTTGGAAGTTGCAATGATTTTGTGGCCTATGTGTGGTTCAGAAACACTGTAAGATTTCATCAAAAATATCTTAATTTGTGTTCCGAAAATGAACGAAGGCCAGTAGTTAATTAATGACAGGTGAACTAACATTAATTTTTAGATGAACTAATCCTTTAACATATACAAATTTATATTTCAGTAATCTGTTACCTTTGAACAAATTCAAGTGTGCAGGATGCCTCGTGCTGGTACACCAGATTAAAGTTGTAGTAAGTTGCAAACAAAGCAGCAAATTCAGCCATGAAATTGGGTGTTGATTCAGAACCACTTGACCCTCAATACTCAGCATCCACTGGGTTGCAGTGAGAATTTCACCTAAAAATAAAACAAATGAAGAGAAAAAAGAAAACAGTTTATAAAAATGTATGCTAAAATACAACAGGCAAAATGTATTAAGTAATTTAAAGATTCTGGAACGTACATTACCTAAGACAATCAGTCTCAGAGAGTCTGGAAGTGTAGAACTTTTTTCCACTTCAGCTGCTGTTGCTGACATCTACAATAAAAAATAAAAGGGAAAAAAAATGTAATGTAATTAAGTGCAGTATATGCAGTAAATGCAGTACAGAGAGATTTCCCAGCCCTCATCAATATGGCATTTTAAAATGCCTAATTAAGTAATTCAGAGTTGTACATGCATGTGAAATGACGGTATCCAATCTTGCAAATCAGTGTTGTGTCTGGTCAAATCTAGCACCTTTACAAGACTTCTGATAACCTGTATGGTCTCTATAAATGAAACTTAAAAGCTGCACATTTTTAAATGTACGTGAAAAGTCAGGTAACGTTACACCACAGGTAAAACAGCAGTTTAGAACATTAATGTGACCTACAATGATATTGCTATCATATTGATAATTTACAGTGATACATTTCTCATTTAGATTTAGGTTCAAGTTATATAAGAAAACGATAAATATGGGAACTTTGAACAGAAAATAAAATTAACTTTCAAATATTTTGCCAGTCATTTTGAATTTAGTTATGACGCAGGGATTTGTTAAACACTGGGTTTACTTGCTCTCAATAATAAATCCAAACTAGTGAAATAAATGATTTAAATAGCAGCATCATGCAACGATGTTAAAATCATATTCTAATGTTTTTCATCAGCAAAGCTAACTGCACGTGCGGATTTACGTTCCTTCTCAAGAGCACTTCAGTATGCCTTGTTTTCCAAACTGCAAAATGTGCAAATGCTCGAAAAAATACTCTCTGGAGAGCATGACGAACAGGCATAGGCCTGTTATCATTGCGCGCTGCAAATTGATTTGCGTTAAATAGTTATGATGCAGGCCTTTATTAAACACTGGTTTTACATGCTCTCATACGAAAATCGAAATCAAACGAAATCAAAACTGGTAAAATAAATGAGAAAATAGCAGCATCCAACGATGTTAATAAACTTAATATAGCCTATTCCAATGTTTTCGTCAAGAAAGCTAACTCTCACCAAGACTTCAGTGGATCCGATCTGTCGTCTTGCAAACTGCAATGCTCTAAAATACTCTCTTGAGAGCAAATTCAAATAAAACTGTAACAAACTGCAGCATTCGTCCATAACATTTAAGATAGTTTTACCTTGTGCTTGTAAGTTCAGATCGCCTCACCACTGAGCGCGCGCCGTCGCGATTGCCTCGCCTGAAACAAGAAATTTAAAATTAAAGACACATTGCTTTACTAAATAAACGTAACGTTTCGATGGAAAATATAGGAATCAAACACTTTTACATCACACTAAATGTCCTGATAACACGCAGTTGTTAACAAGTCGATCAATAATTGCATGATATAATGACATGCCAATGTTATGAATTCTGTTCAAAATATGAATCGCTCATTAAGTAATACATTAGATTGTAAATATTTATGGACGTAAATTTAAGTTAACTTACCAAAAATTGAGTAAATAGTGCCTTTTATCTTCAACTCGATCCTGCCCTGCTCCAGTCCACCAGATTTCAAATGTATTCAGCCCGCGCAATCCCATAATGCCACGTCACAGTAAATTGTTGTAAAACGTATGAACTACAGTGAAAACACCTCTTACCTGTAAATCAATTTACAGTTGACAGGGAAATATACAGTAAACAACTGTAATACTCCTTTTGACCCATAATGCATTGCGAATTACAGTAATAACTTGTAAAATGATAAAACAATAAATTTCTGTAGAATTTTGCTGTAGAATCTACAGCAATTTTTTACAGTGCACTCGAGTTCAATTAAAAATATTTTTCATGATTGTATGTTAATAAAATATTTCTTTAAATTGATTGACACGCCCAGTGATTGGTGATTTTCTAGTGCGCAACTGCGCATGACAAATTGTAATAAAATTACTTTTAACACCACCTACTATGTGGCCTTTTTACCCTAAACTGATCATATTTTTTAAACTCTAAGTAAATTCAGTAAAAAAAAAAAAAAAAAAAAGGATTTCTCTAAGTAAATAAAACTAAATTAGGTAATCAACGCTCACTGGTCTCGGTCTCGACTCGGACTCGACCGTCTCTGGTCTCGGACTCGACTCGGACTCGACTCTCTATGGACTCGGTCTTGACTCGGACTCGACTCTCTCTGGTCTCGGTGTCGACTCGGACTCGAGTGAGGTGGTCTCGACTACAGCACTGTTATTTACTTCTGTGACTCACAATAAATGTATATTCGGTTCTTTTGATCAGACGGCCTGCTGGAAGCCTTTCATACCTTTTTCTTTCATTTATTGCGTCTTACCCCTAGTGGACGTAATAAATATATATATAGTTAAAAAGTGGTATTTGACGGTATACAGAGTAAGAACCACACAAGCTGATTATAAACCACCTAATGACTCCATCGGCCAGTGTGAAATTCTCTCATTTACATCACTCTCTGTGTCACCAAAGGGCTAAAACAAAACAAGACCACGTGAAGGAAGAGAACACCCCGATCCAAGATCAGTGATGAGTGTGTTGACCTTAAAAGCTCAGATTGATGAGGATGAGAGGGAGACTGATCTATGAGAAGTCTTACCTAACACAGTCAGGAAGGCCTTGGAAGTCTTGACAGGCATGGTGAAGAGCGAGCATGTATACTGTCCTTCATCTGACAGAGCAACGTCACTGATGCTGATGGTCAGCTCCTTCCACGAGGCTCGAACCAGTTCAATCCGGTTGTCCCTTAATGCTAAGATATAAAAACAATAGCTAATCAATAAGATAAAAATGACATTGGAGAAACAGTCAAAGTCACATTGCCTGAAAAAAAAGTACGTTAGTGGTAAAGTGTTGGTATCAACCATTTCGATTGGTGGCACGTGTAATGGAATTGGTCGAAAAGGATTCAGGAGACAAAAAGAAAGGAATTAATATCTCACATATAATATCTCAAATGAAAAAAATAATGATAGAAATAACAATCTTGAGGCAATGAGAAACTACAAATGGCCACTGTATGCTGAATTCCTCTAGATAAAATACACATTTAATGTCATGGGGAAAAATGGCTAGACATCCTCTTGCTCATGATATTAACTCCAATGAATATTTCACAGATATAAAATAAAAAATAAATAAACAAGAAATAATAGTACAAAGTTTATAATGAAAAGTGTGCACTTTTCTGCTTATATTAAAGTTCATGGTTCTTAATCAACACTGTCAGCATGCATTACAAATCCAAATTTACATTACATTTATTCATTTAGCTGACGCTTTTATCCGAAGCGACTTACAATTGCTATATATGTCAGAGGTCGCACGCCTCTGGAGCAACTAGGGGTTAAGTATCTTGCTCAGGGACACATTGGTGTCTCGCAGTGGATTCGAACCCGGGTCTCTCACACCAAAGGCATGTGTCTTGGATTAGAAGTAATATCTATGTCCTGATACTCTAAGTGGTACTGCCATTTAAAATGTACCTCTGAATCCTGTCCAAATTTGCCCAGTGGCTTTTATCAACTACAGTTTGAGAAGCACTAAATATATCAAAATATTAGTGCATGGAATCTAAATTCTATGGAATTTAGATTGCCATAAAATTTATGGAATCTTGTAATTTTCAATCTCATTTAAAGAGATTTTAACAGTTAAGCCAAATACATTCAGATCAATTCCGATATACAGCGTTCAATCCAATCAACGGATGCATGAAATCAAGTCCCACCTTTTGCTTTTCTCTCTTCAACAAGCCGCTTCACTTGGAAACATGTCACAATACTGAAGTGGGTTGCACCTTCAGTTTCATGGGCACTTTAACAACAGACATATGCTATGAGTTGTTTAGGGCGTCTAGACATGGTTTTGTTTCAACAAAAGCGTGCTGACTTTTGCGCTTTGGTGAATTCCACAGAGACGTGTTCGACGTCCTATTGGGAACATTGTTACATGCATACACCGACATGTCAAATCAAAAAAATCGATTTACTTGCATATCAGCAAAGACAATTGTGTCGTCTTTCGAAGCATTTTAAATGTGCATTAATGTTAAAAAAGCAACGTGTCTCCAAGCAATATAATCTGACACTGCAAGACAGCACCTTTTCAGAGGATGCGTCAAGACTGTTTAAATATTCCTTCTGAATGTGTGCTGAGTTATGAATAAAGGATTTGTCGAGATGGCAAATGCCTGGGGGGGGGGGGGGTGGTTTGGCACAGAGACACAGCGGAATTGGATAAAGGGAGGAAAGGTGATCAGGTATGGGCTCACGCTACACATGGGCCTGCTGATAGTCCGACGAAACCCGGCGAGACAAGGACCACCAAAGCTTATACCAGCCCATATCCCTCTATCTTCCTTAGACACAGAGGGAGGAATGGAAGAAAAGAGTGCTCTCTCTTGTTGTTTACAGAAAAGACAAACACACACACACTCATACGCCGAACATCACAAAGGTGATGATAAGCTGCCAAGGCGAGGAACAGTCGCTGTTTCTACCACAGCCGAGGGTTGATGGTACAGTGCATAGACTCTAAAATGCTTGCCGGTTTCCATTCAAGTCGTACAATGATAAAATATAGGGATGTGGGCGTTGAAAGGAACGACAGAGAAGAGAACAAAGATATTGAGAGGAAGAAAAAAGATCCGCCCACACAGAGTCTGAAATTGACTTCCTTCAGTGGTCAAATCTGTCTCTGCACCAGGGTCAAATGAAGATGTGAATCCTACTCTCAAAGAGAGCTCGATGCTACAATCTCGTAATGCGCTGGTTCATTTCACTTACACTGCTACATTTTATTCTGACACAATGGTGTCAAGCTTAAAACATTATCCTGAATCCATTGACAGAAACAAGTATACAAAGGTTTGAATAACCCTACAGACAACTGTTATCAATTCAACTCAGGCCAACAGGGACTGGCAAAACTCGGCATCCACACTTCCAAAAAAAGAATCGAAAGCCTGCCAGATGCCCAGAGTTAGCTCCAATCTGTCACAACCTCCGTGAAATGCCAACGTCTGACAAAGCTCTTTTTCCCAGAGCTTAAATAAGTCGACATGATGAAATGGTGGGTTTCTGACTTATTCAACAGTTTATTCCACTTAGAGAGAAGTATAAATCCTTCGAATTGACCTTGTGTCCTCCTTTATCCTTTTCGGGGGAAGAAGGGAAGGCTGACTTGTAGATGACCTGACAGACATCCCAGCATTCCCTTGGGCTGGAGCAATCTGACAACTGCCTGATGGTGCGAACCCCTATTTAGCATCATCGAGTTGTGCTTTTATCTAAAACTCAGTTTGGTGTACAAATAAAAACTTGGCGAAAACAATCACAGTCGAATTGAAAAGACAACAGTGGATAATGGAGCAGATTGTGAATGTTTATTTTCAAGGTCGTGAGTGCGTGCGAATGTGGGTGCGGTTGGATAATATAGTGTGTTTAGATGTATATGGTGTTGGTCTTGGAAGGAAAAGAACTGCCAACAAAATGTCTTCGCACCTTTCTTGTGAACAATCATTTGGCAGTGGACTTTGAGAGACTCCTAGTACTTTTCCGCACAGGCTCTGAAACCACATTTAACATCCAACTTTGGAGCCGAGCTTCTACTCTGACATAATCAGACCACTCCATCTGACGAGGAGACGGAAAACGGGTGACATGAGCGACAGGCCCTGAGGCTGTGACTGTCCCGCAGCTGGCAGCACCGATCTTGGCATTGACACATTTGGAGAAGCCAGAAGTCCCACTCTCTGCAATTAGACTGCTCCAATGGCCAGCTGTGATTGGTCACTATCTGGACAGGCTGTGATTATCGTAAGGACGTGAGTCTGTACTTCCACCGTAGACAGGAAGCTGCTTCCCAGCGGCTCTCGGGGCCAAGAAAGTTCTCTACTCCAGGTGGCCAATGATCGGAGGTTAAAACAGATCTTATGAACCAGGTGCAAGGGATAAACTGGGCAACAACGGCCATGATGATGTTTGAACACTTGTGGGATTATCAGACACTTTTTGTTTTTAAACCAAGTCGTATCAGGTCAAATTTGACATTAGACTTCCTCAACTAACACTGGGGAATAGATACTGCGCATAAAATAGCGAAACCAGAACCTAATTCTCTCTGACAAATCTCTAAGGTTTAGTTTCTTTTGCTGCATCACACAAAGTTAGCCTTTGTTCATCAAGCTTTTTGCTATATCAAAACACAAGACAAGACATTTTTGGGTCAGTCGAAGAACACAATGCTTTCATGTGAGCTGTATTACACGGAGAGCATGTAAAATTGAGACTCGGAGCGTACTATATCCACAGCTTATCCAGAAATGCGACGGCAAACAGAAAATGCAAACATGCAGTTTGTTTCATCAGATAGGATTAACTGCTGTTTACCCTCCTAAGGAGGAACTCTGTTTAAAGCATTCCCGCAAACATTGTAGGTCATTGAAGTTGAATTAAACCTGATGATTATGATGTTTGAAGGTCATTACATAAGGTGTTTTACCACTGATCTTTCACTCTGTGAACATCAACCTAAATGGTCATTAGTTAATAACCAAGCATACTGTTAAACTCAATCAACCTTTGTCCACCTTCACATTCATCAACAACCGAGATGTAAGACCCAAATGAACTTAATACAGTCATAGTAGCCTTACAACACCCTTAATGCTAAGCTACAAATAGAGACTTACTGAAATGTCACACAGCACTTAACATTTCATTTATCGACTGGTAATGCTATAATGATAGGAGCCCATTAGAGGCCCATTTGGTTCTATGTGAGGTGATGAGCTTAAAAAATGACATTTAACTAAGTGTGGAAATGTTAGATGGGGATAACTTGTTTCACTTGTCTTATCTCCGGAAGTTTTGGAGTCGAAAGTGTGGTTTAGACAAGTGAAAAACAGAGTAACTTTTTAAAATGCCAAAATATTTGCAGTAGTTACTATAAGTGTAGAGAAGAATACAGCACTTAAGAAACATTTTGAGATTGATTTCCTTGAGAATGGAGCGGCGCCGTTTCAGTCCCGTTGATCCCGTTGAAATCGTCTAGAAAGAGAAGTGAATTTAAACCCTCATTTCCCACACAAGCACCATAACTCATTTGTGGTGTCTGTGCTGACCACTAGGAAAAAGTTTCAGATAAGTCATTTCATTTTACATGTACATCTAAGCATTTTCAGACATTTATCTTACATGGTATTCAAGGTATACATCTAATTGGTTCATGTATTCCCAGTGAATGGAACCATGACATTGGCGTTGCTCTAAATAATCATATAATCTGTGCCTTAAATATGCCTGAAACATAACTGAATATTGAGTCACTCAAGAGATTATCTCTCACTTTTTGCACTTGTATTTAAGATCCTTGTCCTTGTTGTCCTTGACTATTCTGCGAGTTGAATGCGTGTTTCATCTGTTCCTGAATAGGATTTTGCCCCACACAGATACAGTAAATTATCACAGTCTGAATCCTCTCACATTTATTGCCCCACAGAGGTGAATGCTAATATAAATCATGATGGCCTCAATAGTACACAAGGGACCAGCTGGAATTGACAATGCAGAATGTGAAGATACAAGTAAAACCTGAAAATACCTATCAGAGAGCAGCATTAAGTGCAAGGAAAAGACATTTTACTGATAACCTTGCAGACCTTTGACTTAAACATAACCAGACGACGGTGCAATGTCACAGCGCCTCATGTTGTTCCTCTGCATTTTGCTCGCTTTTGAATCTTCTTAT